GCATGGCTGGCTGGGGAATTCTGGGAGTTGAAGTCCACTCATCTTAAAGTTGCCAAGGTTGAGAAACACTTGTCTAGTCCAATCTGTGCAGTTCAGGAATCTAATACTACAGTTGTGTGAATGGAGCCTCTGTTAAATACCCAGTTTTCTTATCTCTTTTCTCACATCCATCTTCCCATTTATTCTGCTCCCCTCTATTTCTCTTGATGTCTGTGCCTTCTCAGAGCTGATACTGATAGATAAAACAAAACAGGTCAATTTCTGCTGAGGTCAACCCTTCGAGGTAGGCCAGATCAGAAAACGAATATCACAGGAAATACTAGAACTCTGTTTTACAGATAGATATAATAAGAGAATCTTGAAAGCCTGACAATATTTCTTTTTCCCTCCCTCCCTCAGTTACAATTTTTTCTCTCAAATATTCCTGACTCTGTTACCCTAAATATAGCTAAATTTTGCTATGTCACACAAAAAAAATTAAAATAAATATTTTATTTATTTATATTTCAAATTTAGATACCGCCCACCTCACGAAAAAGTGACTCTGGGCGGTATCTCAATATGCAAAATGCACAGCCAACTGATTGATATGCCTACTTAATTTTGCAATTTGTTCCTTTATAGCAGCGTTTCTCAACCTCAGCTACTTTAGGATGTGTGGACTTCAACTCCCAGAATTCCCTACTGAGCATGCTGGCTGGGGAATTCTGGGAGTTGAAGTCCACACTTAACACTTTATTCTATTTAAGTTTGACTATTTTATTTTTTATACTATCAAAGTTTACTATGACTTCAAATTTTGTACTACATCTTAATTTTGTACTTAAAGTTTTGTACCATGGAGTTTTGTCTTCGACAGCAATAAAGAGATATGGCTGTTCTCCAAGATCATTTCTGTGTTCTTCTGCCACATGAAACCTAACTTCAAGACTTTCATCGAATAATTCCCACACTAGCCTGGATTCCCAAGAAATGGTGACCCCATAATTGGAAATAATAATAATAATAATAATAAAACACTGAAAGTCTTAAGGAACTGAAGAGATGCTGTCACCAAGGAGGTTCTGAATAAGTCCTTATTCTGGAGTGGCCTTTATGGTGAGGAGGAGGAAATGTTTCTGCTTTATTTTTTCAAGGAGGGTGTGACTGAACCCTCCAGTTATTTCTTCAAGCTCAAAGTCTCCAAAGTTTAAGGAGTTTCCTGGTTGCAATTTTGCACAGGTCCCTGCTTCAAGCTAGATTTCTTTTACCCTTTCCTGGAATAATGACATTGACAATGACGGGATCCTTCAACAGCTTCTCACCTAGAGACAGGAGAATTGTCGATTTGGCAGAGGAAACTGCCTGACCCCCCCTTCTCTATGACTCACTGCTCTGACTTGCCACCCCAGGTCACTAGGATTTCACTCTTGTCCTCCCACTGTGCTAGCTGTCATCTGATCCCAAACCCACTTTTTCCCTGAAACCCCTGGCACAATTTCCCGTTCTTAAGCCCTCTCTGAGAGCTACCTTTCTAAGCCAGTTCGGCATCGTGGTGAAGCCACCAGGCTGGAAACCCAGAGACCGTGAGTTCTGGTCCCACCTTAGGCGCAGAGCCAGCTGGGTGACCTTGGGCCAGTCCCTCTCTCTCAGCCGAGGAAGAACGGAAGGGAAACCCACTTCTGAAAATCTTGCCAATAGAATTGCAGGGGTTTGTCCAGGCAGTCATCAGAAGTCAAGACCTCCTTGAAGGCACAACAATAGAAGAAAAATACTACCTATGCGTAGCTGAATCGAAACATATTCTGTTTCTGTTTCTGGGGCCCAGGGATGGTGGAATAATCTGCGTGTGGGGGAGAGGGTGGGTTTTTGTTTTTTTTTAGGTGCTTTCAAGTCCCTGCAGTTTTCTTGGCAGGATTTTCAGAAGTGGTTTGCCCTTGCCTGCTTCCTAGGGCTGAGAGAGGGTGACTGGCCCAAGGTCACCCAGCTGCCTTTGTGCCTAAGGCAGGACTAGAACTCACAGCCTCCAGGTTTCTAGCCTGGTGCCTTCCCCACTACACCAAACTGGCTCCGAAAGGAATAACTACATGCAGTTAAACCAGCACACGTGTTTTTCTCCTCTTCAACCTCTCCTCAACCCTCTGTCTTTGCATGGGATGAGTTTGGAAGCCCCTTAGGGTCAGGTTCTACAAACGCCATGGTGGTGGAGAGGGTGCAACCCCAGAGAGATCAGCACGGAATGACCTTCAACCATTCAACTTAGACTTAGCCATCTCCTTGTCTAGAAGTCTTTGAAAATGCCCCTCTCTCGGGCTTAGCTTCCTTGCAGGGCTGTTCAGGAGGTAAAGGAGAGAAGGCAAGCAGGATCTGATCAATGATCCAACAAGCCCTATCAATTTAGCCAGCTAGATGCCTTTAAGAAGACAATTGTCCTTCCTGTTTGTCATCTCCAGCCCACCCTTGGAAGTCCAGAAGAATGAGTGCCAGTTATATTGGGAAATGGTGAAATAGCATTACACATAATAAATGCACACTTAGAACCACAAAGGATCCCTCAAAGGTCATCCAGACCACCCTTATGCACTAAGCTGCCTTGGTATGTACATTCCTGAGATGTGGTCATCATTTTTTCATGGTGTTCGCAGAACACACTGGACCCCGTCTGTTAAAAACCTAAAAACTACATTTGTCCAATCTGTGAAGCCTGATTAAAGTTAAAGTCCACTAGTTTCCCCCCCCCCCCCCCCCCCCTTCC